TCTCCCTTATTCTATTTTCTATTTTTCCAGAATCAACTGACCCAAAGTTTGCCAGTCTTTTGAGTAGTGAAAGTTCAGAGTAAAGTTTTGTTCTACTCGACAAATTGCATAAGTGCACACGGCAAACGGCAAAACGGCACCGCATCCAATGATGCTGCTGCTTCAGTATCGATGAACGTTGCGTTGGTGTGAGCGTCATTGAGTGGCGGTAGTAGCTGAGCATAACTGGCGGGTTCATCTGCAAAAGATGAATGGTGAGAACTAGAGAAGAGTGGTGGGGAAGAAGGAGAAGATGATGAGGAAGGAAAGGGAGCCGGTTTGCTGTGAGCTAAAGGACTGCTCCTGCTGATGGACTCCTCTCTCAGCTCGCTCTACTATCTCCCTTTCTGCCCCTTTCCTTTTCGTAAGTTGGTCATCAGTGTTCAGTAGTGTTGGCAAGTGCAAACCTCTGTTGCCTCTGTTGCCCTTCAAGTTTGCCAGTTCACTGTTGCTGCCGTCGTTGCTGCTGCTGATGTGTTTTACCCAGTGTTTCACACACCAAGTTCAAACACTGCTTACTTCCATTTCGAACCGCTGAACCGTTAATCCATTTCAACTCAACAATGTCCACCTCCTCCGCCTCCTCGACCCTTCTGCAGCTGTCGCGCAAGGCGGCGGCCATTCGGGCGGCCGAGCTGCCCCGCTTTCAGGCGCTCTTTCCGAAGCTGGTTCGCCAGCTAACGGAGCCCAACTGTGAAGCTACTGATCAAACCTCCTCCTCCTCCTCCTCAATCATCGAGCACTCTCTCTTCCGCGAAAAGACGAACTCCTCCTCATCCTCTTCTGAAATCGATCACGCCCACCGCTGGCTGTCCTCCATGCTGCAGTACAACGTGCCCCATGGGAAGCTGGCCCGCGGCCTGGCCCTCTCCATCAACTACCAGATTCTGCAGTACGGCTACGAGGCGGTGGAGCAGGGAAGCAAGTCATCATCGGAAGAAAAAGACCTCACCGGCGCCCGAGTGCTCGGCTGGTGCGTGGAGCTCTTTCAGGCGTACTTTCTCGTCCTCGACGACATCATGGACGGCAGCATCACCCGCCGCGGACAGCCCTGCTGGTACCGAAAGGTAAGTTTAAGGTTTTTTATTACTCCAGGAGAATTTTTTTTGCGTTGCTAGCTTTGCCGCCCGCTACTGCATATACTTTTATTTTTTGTTTGCGGTTTTCACTGTTTATATATAATCTTTTTTTGCTGTACATTCATTCTTTGCTGACATATATACTGGTAAGGAGGAGGAGTAGGAGAGGGGAGAGGAAGAATTGGTAGGTAGATTGGCTTGCTGGCTGACTTCCTCTCATAAAAGTGAGTAGTAGTAGTACAAGAAATGGGTCCGTACGTGTGTGTGTATAAATGGGGCGTGTGGCGGTGTGTCTGTAAAATAAATTCGGGTAGCAAAAGCAAAAAGAGAAGGAGGAGATAGAAAAAATACACAGAAAAAAGGGTAGTGAGTGAATGAGTGAGTAGGCGATGGGGAATGAGTGTCTCCAAAGGGAATGGTGGTGGTGGTGGTGGTGGTGGTGGTGGTGAATCCATATCATATTTCATTGTGTTTGTTTTTTTCTGTTTTGTTCCACCAGCCCCACCTCAGCAGTCTCACACAAAGTCACTCATCGTCAGCTTCAGCTTGCTGATCGACTCGCGCGTCCAGCGAAAGGTCTTCACGATGAAGTGGTACATGAACTCATTGTGCACCGAGTGCGAGGTGTTGGAGTGGTTGAAGGGCTCCTCAATGCAGATGAAGGTCTCCATGGAGGTGCTGCTGGAGCGGGCAAAGTGCGGGTCGGTGCGCCGCATCAGCCGGCCGGTGCGGACGGAGATGACCGAGTCGTACACCGTCTCGTCCGAGTAGAAGGCGATAAACTCGGCAAAGAGGCTGCCCAGCGACTGGACGTTCGTCGACTTGAAGGAGTCGAGGTGGAGGAGCGTCGCCGAACGGCTGCCATTGCCAGAACTGCTTCCCCCGCAGTCGCCGACACTGTGTCCATTGGTGATGGTGGTGGTGCATTCAGTGCCATTCGGACTGGTTGAGGGCGGCGAGGAGGAGGGCGACGTAGTGGTAGAGCCGCCGCAGCCGCTGCTCGAGCTGATTGAGAGCACCGAGAGGGAGCCGCTCAGGCTGCTGGCACAGCTGCTACTGCTACTGCTGCTGCTACTAATGACATCGCCATTGTCCGAGGACGAGGAGGAGGAAGAGGCCGATGATGAGCCACAGAGCGAGCCAGAGGACTTGGCGGTGGAGGAGGAGGNGCTGCTGCTGCTACCGCTGGAGCTGATGACATCACCATTGTCCGAGGAGGAGGAGGAGGAGGAGGAGGCCGATGATGAGCTACAGAGCGAGCCAGAGGACTTGGCGGTGGAGGAGGAGGAGGAGGAGGCGGAGGACAGGAAGTGACTGCCCGCGGCTGCGGCGGCCGCCGCCGCAGCCACCGCCTTGCTCTGCATCAGCTGAAACTGGGACCAGTAGTAGTAGTAGTAATAGTAGTAGTAGTAGGGCAAGTGCTTCGTCGCCTCCATCTCCTCGAGGCTGAGTGAAGAGGAAGAGGAAGAGGAGGCGGTAGAGGAGGTTGTGCTGGAGACCGAGGAGGAGGAGGAAGATGAGGACAGCGATCCAACGTGGTGCAGCTCATCAACGCAGCCATTTTGGAGCACTTGCAGCTGCTGCTGCTGCTGCTTACGACCCTTCTTTCCCTTCTTCTTAGGCGGCGGCACTAACGTCACCGACGACGACTGCTGCTGCTGCTGCTGTTGAATCAACTGCTGCAGCACCGGCAGCGGA